CGAAAAAAATAAATGTAGGCCATACAAATATTTCTCCCGGCCCGGGAATCGAACCCGGGACCTCTTCGAGGCAGTCCAGCATAATAACCATTCGGCTACGGAGACTGTTAAATATCCCCACGTATTATATTTTACAGGCCGTTGATCACTGTCTTATATTTTCCACATTCAGGTCTTCTCATTGAGTTACGTCAAAAAAATTATTGCTCCATTAGATATAGAAAACACAATTCTTGTAACTCTATCGATATATAAACATAGGTGCTAATGTTATTGTAGTTACAAGAATTGGAGAAGATGTGGATTATATTTATGTGTATCCAATGAAGCAATAAACATTTTTGATGTAACTCGACTAATGCCATTCTCCCATGAGGGGTGCGATTTGATTCTTTGCTTTGGAACCTGTCCACGTATAACGATGATTCTTTTTTCTACCATATCGGAAAATACGCGTTCTATTTTTCTAAGTGAGTCAGGATTTGTAGTTTTATATACAGGGCATCACATGGCTAAGCCATACTGAGGGAAAACACCTTAAATAGCGTAGATAGAATATTTTACTGAAATAAGACTTCATTTTTATTTTAAACAAAATTCGAACTGCATACAAAGATTTTTAAATTATCGCTCAAATAAAAGGACGGTTTAAATTTAATATCTAATTTGAAATTTTGTTCAGCCTTATGTTTGACTTTGCCGCGCTTATATAAAACAAGTGTGATTGTCATTTAAAATTACTAATGAGTACACTTTACTAAACTTTCAACTTATTATTTTAAACATTCACCATGAAAAGATATTTCTTTCACGAAAAAAACAATACATTTTTTGCAAATTAAAATTATTTATTGCTTACATATGGTCGCGCCCTCGCACTATAAAATGTGACGCAATATAAGTAACGAGTTTGCTCTATTCATTTCTTAGTACAAATCAGGGTTGTTGCGAAAATATCCGCATAGGCATTCGTCGATGCTGATATGCAGTGCGGATATTCGAGTCGTGAGAAGACCTAAAACCCACTCTGGAATAATTCTAGAAACAGACAGAATAAAAAACAGCCACAGAAATTTAAACAAATAGGCAATAGAAATCATGTAATTAAGGTCACATTGTCGCCGCGAAGGTGACGCTTACCACTTGAATTAATATTTGCTAAAGTGACATGAAATCATTTACCATTCATTGTTGCGTGGTAGGTATATCAGCGTAAATAGTGACGTAACCCATATTCAAATCACCTGCAATATTATTTTACATGATACTAAAGTACATAAATATTTTATATTTCGTTGCTGTTGTCATGCATAAAAAAAATTATATATAAAATAATTACGTAATTTCAATTCATTAGTCAGTACCTTTTTTTTCGTCATAATAATAGGGGTTAAAGTATGAAATTGCCGATTTGTACTGAAAATCTAAATTGTTTATTTTTTAAATTTTTAACAAATTTATTTAATCAAAATAGTTGCCATTATTATCTATACATTGCTGCCATCTAATGGGAAGGTTATTAATGCCTTTGCGATAGAACTCCGACGATCTAGACTGCACAAACTGTGTGAAAGCATTTTGTACTGCCTCCTGGGAAGAAAACTTCTTGTCACGTAGATAATTGTCCAAATCACGAAAAAAATGGTAGTCCGTTGGAGCAAGATCTGGTGAATACGGAGGATGACGAATGGTTTCTAACCGCAGTTCCTGAAGGGTCAAAATGGTTTCTCGTGCTGTGTGAGGTCTCGCGTTGTCGTGGAGCAATAATGGTGAAGATCGATTCATGAGTCGGGGCTGTTTTACTGCTAGTTTTGTCAACATGGTTCGGAGTTCGGCACAATAGACATCTGCCGTTATTGCTTGACCAGATCGGAGAAAACTATTGTGAATAACACCATGCTGAGACCACCAAACAGTTACCATTACCTTTTTATTGGTAAGTTTTGCTTTAGGACACTGTTGTGGCATTTGACCTGGGGTCAGCCATTGCATTTTTCTTTTCCGGTTATCATAAAGAATCCACTTTTCATCACATGTTACAATTCGATCCAATATTCCTTCATTTCTGTACCGGTTCAACAAGGCAACACAAGTTTCAACACGCGTTTCTTTCTGCAGATCAGTCAAATCATGAGGCACCCATTTTTCGTATTTTTTTATTTTATTGATTTGACGCAAGTGAGTCAATATTGTGGGTAAGGTAACGTTAAACCATGCCGCTAATTCCTGGGTAGTTTGACTAGGATCGGCTTCCACTATCTCTCTTAATTCATCGTTATTCACCTGTGTGGGCGGTCTTCCTCGTGACTCGTTCTTTAAGTCGAAATTTCCATCACGAAAGCATTTAAACCAAAATCGCACGGTGCGTTCATTAGTAGACCCCTCTCCAAACGCAGCATTGATATTGCGGGCTGTTTCTGCCGCGTTAGTTCCGCGTCGGAACTCGTATTCAAAAATCACTCGAATTTTCGCAGTATCCATCTTTCTTGTCTAAATTGAATAACAAAAACAATTGAAAGTCGATATTCAAATGTTTCAAATTAAAAAAAAAAAAAATCACAGAAATCATTTGAAAAAAGTTTCATTCGAAAACCTCAAACCATGAAGATTCTATGAAAATTCAAAGAACCTATTGCAATAAAACGGCAATTTCATACTTTAACCCCTAATATTATATTTCTCCCATTGGCTCAGAGATTTTTTTATAAATATAAAATATAAAAATTTTCACATTATAGGCTTGCTTCTACCATTTGTATCCCATTTGTAACTGGGTTCTACCATTTGTAAGCCGGCGCATTCCACCATTTGTAACTGGGACGTAGCTCTAATGCGTAGCGAGAGGTACTTCTAAGAATATAAACTGGGATTAACTTCAAAGATTCGGTTTATTTCAAATTATTTTACATGGTTTATACTTTCAGTCTAGGATGTAATATGTAACAAAAACTATATTCACTATCTATATTCAGCCAGCAATTCGACTCATAGAGTAGAGCCTAGACTACAGTACCGTGAACAGTGATTGGTACACGTCCATTTGTTTGCCGGAAGTTATTCACAAACTCCGTAAAAATGACCGTAAACGCTGTACCATCTTGCACCACGATAATACCAGTTCTCACACGGCCAGACAAACAAAATAATTTTTGAAGGTGAACAACATTGACATATGGTCAGCCATCATTGACATAAGGTCACATAAGGGGAGCCATCCCGCGTACAGTCCCGACCTGGCACCTTGTGACTTTTATTTATTTCTAAAAATTAAGAACCAGTTACGCGGTCAACGATTTTCATCACCTGAAGAGGCTGTCGAAGAGTATGAAAAATATGTTTCAGAGTTTGTCACGGAGGAGTGGCATACATGTTTTCAAAATTGGTTCATTCGTACGAAAAAGTGCATTAACGCTAACGGGGAATGTTTTGAGAAACAATAAATTTATTTCTGACCATTTATAGTATTTTTTTCTTATTCATTCCGGAAACTTATAGTGCGCCTCACGTACGTTATGTATTTTATGTGTATTACGTAATAATGTGCGCGATCAACCATAAACTCGTATCATTAAAGAAAAAATATTCCACCAATTTAAATTTATTTGGAGTGCGATGAACGATTGAAATGTGGTCGAACCTTTGTTCTCTACTTACGTAGATGCACTTGGCATAGGGAGGAGCTTTCCAATTAGTGAGTCATCAAGAAAAACGAAAGAGACGACTGGGTTGTGCATTTCACACATTTAGATTATGTGCAACTGCCGTCGTAAAGAGACGTCGTTAAAAAAAATATTATTATTTACGGAAAACAAAACATAATATGGGACAAGATCCATTAATAAAATCGGACAAGTGGGACGAACTTGAAAATGAGTTTGAGAAAGATTATCCTCGCGGAGTTGCAGGGTTCAATATTTTGCAAACGCATAAAATATGGTTAGATAAGGGAATTGACAACGGCTTGAAAGTTTTTTGTCCTTATAATAAAGCGAGAAATGGGATAATTGCTTTTTTAAGTGACCAGGTAAGTGTTAATCCCATAAATGGGTCGTTTTCAGATAACGTTAAAAAATGTGTTCCTTTCAATAACTTTTGTATTATTACATGAATGTTAAGCGTTATTTATTTAATATAATTGCTTATTTACTTAATCTGTTACACATAAAAGAAATACTCCACTACGCCACAGTAATAAATGAAAATTAAAAAGTTGGTAATTTCTCATTCGTTGGAGCCGGATCTACATGTCAAGAAATGAAGAAAACTCTAATGGAAATCACAACATTTCTCATCAAAAATAAACTTAAATAACTTCCACGTCGAATACATACCGTAACGTTCCAATTTATTTTAAACAAATATGTTTTCTTGGGAATACAAAATGTGTACCAATTGTTTCTTATCATTAGTGTTATTTCAAATAAAAACCGCCTAATAACAAAAGGTCATACCGCCATCACCTTCGCCCTTCATTTTAGCAAAAGATCGACTTAAATACCAATTTCAGCGCTTGTGACTAAATCTTTCTCATTCATGTAAAGCAATCTATCTATATAAGTATTATGTTATATCTTACAAACTTTATTGTGCATCAATTAACCCACACAGTTTTATTTCTTTCGAACCTGGCCATACATGATTGATTGGTTTATAAGAATAATTCCAAACGAAACTCTTTTACCTATCGAACGGCGCCTTCGTCACACCATTGCGCGTGAGACGAACTTTTACCTTGCATTTAAAATTAGTGCATCGACTAGTTTGTCGCTTTGCGAGCACCTCACCACAACAGTTCGGACGGATTTTAGTGGAAACACCTTTTTGGATCGTGAGTATCTGTTTTATGCTTTTTCGTTAGGAATACTGCTTTTTAACACCTAAACGTAATAATATATTAAATATTTAATATGATTAAATCAAAAACATCAAGCTAATAACTATCTAGCTTGCAATAAAATATTGACGATTTTTTGCAACACAATTGTTATGACCGGCGCCTATGTATAACTTTTGTTCTTACTTTTTTCGGTTTTTTCAGCATGACACATAAATTATTAGATTAAGAAATTGAAGTTTGTTATGCAGGTACGATAATGAGGGCAGATATGAAGACGATTTCGACGCCCGAAACAAAAACTTCTAGGAACGTCGTGATGATGAGCGGTGCTCATCCTCAAAATCGGAAGACGGGTCTGTAGATGTGTATCTCTAAATACGTACCGATGGAAGAAGAAGAAGCGTCGATGCCCGGGGATTCTTTCCCGAACGTAAATTCGGTAGGAACACCTGCTCAATATTTTGATAACTATTTCAAACGACACTGTGAGACATATTATGATAAATGTACTATTAGAATATGTATATTTTAAAACTATTTCTTGGTTTTGCATGTAAGAAATATCTTAAGATTTGATTCACCAAATAAATAGTAATTATAAGAAAATTATTGTTCTCGTATTTTATTGAAATATATATTAAAGGTACATCTAAATGCAATGGTGTTCTTACACAATTGTGCGCCTGTTATTCAGGTCGTAATTAATACAATTGTGCGGGCCAAAATTTTCCAAGATGGCGTATGGAAAATGGAAAATTTACCTCAGATTTGTCATCTACAGGTCAGTTTAATAACTGCCTCCGTAGCCGAACGGTTACCCTGCCGGACTGTCACGCAGAGGTCCCAGGTTTGATTCCCAGGCCGGGAGAAATATTTGTATGGCCTTCGCTTATTTCTCTCGTAAGTTTGGGTGTAATTTGTTGTTGTCTAAGTGTGTGTCCATAGTACCTGCGACAAATCCTCGACTATTGATTTTTACCGAAATGTTTGAATTTATTACTATAGTTTTTGTAATTGAAGTCCCTTACCTAATTTGTCGAAGCAAAAATCGCTCACGTTTGATTACTTTTATCTTTATGATTAAACCATTTATTTCAAGTAACTCTTACACAACTCATATTTTGGTATTTCGGATAGCCGTTTCAATGTCATGTCAACTTCTATGTCGCATGTGTATAAATGTGTATGTATTGTTTGTGTAATCTAGATTTCAATTCCATTATATTCGCAGATTCGTAACTTAATCTAACCTAACCGAACCTAATCGTGTCTTTGCGATAAACATCCAACATATCCTGAAAGAACAACAGATCCGTTATAATTCGGTTTTCGGTGTAATGATTCGAACAAACGTTATTTCGGAAAAAAAATTCGACTTTGTGGTAAGCTACCATTTTAAGAGGGTAAAATTCAAAAATGCAAAAAAAAGAAATCCTTTAAAACTAATTACTATGCGTTTATTCGGCGGGGCCGTTGATATTTTATTAAACTATCCATTGACGAGTAAAAATATTAACTAGATATTGTTTTCTTTGCCCCCAGGTCAAATACGAACTCCACATAGAATGTCCAAACGAAGACACAAGCGAACTGGAAGAGGCCTTAAAGAAGACCAAACATGTAAATTGGGATAGAATTCTTGGCATACTATTATTCCCTCCACTTCATGCCGTTGAATGCATTAAGGGAGTGGTCAAAGACATAGGCAAGGAAATAACGAAAATAAATCTGGTGAATTTTTATGTCTTGGATCGACGCACACCGCTTTTTGATGTTGAGTAAGCGAATCAGTCATTTAATTCTATATTGTCGCTGTATTCACGCAATTTTTTTGAATATTTGGAAAATACAAGCTCATGGGACTTGTCAACAGTATGTATGTATGTATGTAGTAATTGCAACGTCCCGTCATCCTGCCTCCGTGCCTGACAAGACAAGTCTTTGTGAGTTAAAGCTCCCAGTGACTCTGCAACTGTTATGGGTAGGCATGTCGCTTACAACCAGGAGCACGTCTAGTCTAACCTTCACTGGATATCAATCTATACACTTTGTCCGAATATCGCCTCCAGTGCAACGCAATAAATTCCGTCAGTGTGTATCTTGATGTGCTGCCATCTGTAGGGTAGGTTGGTGTAAGATGGCGCACTTTTGAAACAACTAGCCATAAAAAAATTAAAAGGAACAGTATCACTATCGACTGTATTTATTTTTGAGCTTTGACTAATTGATAATAAAAACGTAATTACAAAAAGATCTCAACTTATATCATTAGGTGAATGTAAACCAAAAATAAAAAATGCGCAATTTTACACAACCCTGCCGGTAAGATGGCGCAGCAAAGTTGATGAGATGGAGCAGCAAAGTTGATAAGATGGCGCACCTTATACATTGTCATTTATATATCGGTTATTGAAAACACATGACACATTTAAATACAACCAAATCTAAGATATTCTGTGCACTTCACGTTTCACCATTCCTGACAAACAGAGCATTCAGTCTAGTATTATCCGATAGGTTACTTGTATATTTGTTAACACTCAGCGCATGTCCAAACCGTCTTTGTTTTACTTTTATTTGGTGCTTGGAAAGATTTTTTTAGGTATTTTGGGTGTTGGTTATATTTTTTGCAATAGCCTTCTCAACGTGGATTCTGGCATTCCTAAAGATTTTGTCACAGATATTTTACTATTTCCTTGGTCGAGGATCTTACGCGCTTCTGCTATAACAGAAGGTGTCCATGATTGACTATCACTCTTCTTTTCGCGCCTTAACATTCTGCAATTGAATAAAATAAAATCTCTAGAAACAAGTCCAGATCCCAAACATTCAAATAAGGTTTTTAAGTTGGCGCGCGCCGTCCTGTACACCCACCCAGTGCGTCAACTTACAAATTTTGCCTTAGTAAAGAAATTCATATACTAACACCATCTCTTATAAAAAGTCGGATTTTTTCATTTTTAAGCCAATATAAAAGACTTTTTGATCAATAATCAAGTCGAAACACTGAATATCTGGAAATATGTTGTATTGCAATAATTTGAAATTACGATAAAATTAGATCAAAAGTAGTTAAAATCTTTGAACGTACCTGCAACCAGTGTCTTGTAACCAAATTGAATATTTTTTTTGCGAACACTTATTGGCATCAAAACTCATCAAACTATGACTGACATTAGACGCGAACCTCATTCCAGAATCGGTCAACCACTAATGCGCCAACTTATCGCCCGCGCCATTACACCAACCTACACTACTAGGCGGAGTTCCTAAACAGAAATGAATCAGATACTACGCACTTCGGTATAGTTAATGGAATACTTCAAAAATCTTGAAAGTAATACCATAGTAAAATATGAGAAGTATGGTAACTCTGCGCGTTAACAGCGCGGCTGGTATGTAAGCGCGACTGCTGCGCGCCGTGTTCACGCACACATTCTCATAATAATGAAGGCCCGTTGGAACGATCAGTGTAATTCATAATTTATGTCTAATTTTTATTTATTAAAATATAAACGTTATTTGGTCTCATTTTCTTATAACTGATACAAACTAACTCTTAATACTAAACACTGCGATCCAAAATGGTCGCCACTCTGCATTTGTCGGGTTGGGGTTTGTAGCATTTGAACCCGGGGTCGGTTTAAAGTTGCAACAGAATTCGGATTAAGCCAAATGCCAGTGTCGTGTTATTGTGGGACTAATTGCTTGTCAAAAATAATTAGATTTGAGTCTCATCCAGTCCCGGGCTCAGTTGCACGTCGAGAGATGACGTTAATTTTGTCTGAAACCTGATGTCAAAACAACCCAATGCTGATTTTGAGGTTTTATAGAAAGAAGAAGATTTAGAACAATACAATACAGGTAATTGTATTGTTCTAAATCCCAGTTTTTTTTCTACTTTCAGTCTACTACCAGGCTTCACATTTCAACAGTTGTCTCAGAAACACATCGAGATCGCGGATTCAACGTGGCCACTTCGGTATCCTGGATCAATATTTTATTTCGAACTTCTCATTCGGGCTAATTCTGGTTACGGCTTATTTAAAGACCAGGAATTGGTCTCTTTCGGTTTTATTAAAGAAACTGGAGCTTTAGGACATTTGTATACCCTAGAAAACCAAAGAAGAAAGGGCTATGGATATATGTTTTTGAAAATGTTTTGCAATGTTCTTTTAAAAGAAGGAAGACATATTAACTCTTATTGTTTTAATACGAACGCACCTGCTTGTAGGATGCATGAGGAGTTTGGGTTTAAAAAATGCGGTGAGATCGCTTTAGTGAATATACAATAGAACTGAGTAGATAAGTTCCGGGTTCCGTTCGTATTTGTTTGCTCGTTCCCAGCTTGTAAAGACCGGTGACATGCTCTCGGGCTGGTGTAGCCTTGGGGCTGGCGTTCCGCAGGGTGTGGTTTTATCTCCTATACTTTTTCCGTCTTTATCGGTGGAATTACATCATCACTCACGTCTTCTTACGATGACCAATGATCAATTCTATACTGCAGCCCGTCTTGTGGTTGTAGTTACTGCTATAGGCACATTGAATTCCACGGACATATATCTAGATAGACGCCGCAAGTGTACGCATTTCGCGTGTCCAAAGTAAGTGAAATTCACTTACTTGCCGCTGCTACACTCCAGAACGCGCTCGATCATTATCGTGGATAACCCGTCGAAAACGCGAAAAAATGCATAATTGTGCCATTTTAAACCGCAAAACCACCATAACTGTGGGTAAACGAGTAAACAGGGACGGAGGGGTAAACGAGTTAATACGCCATGAATATCGAACGAATGTACTTTTGTACACAATGCATTCAGTTTCGTGGTACGGCCGCTTGTATACTTCTTTGGCCAAATTTAACATTCAGTGATGTATACGTTAGACAACACTGGGGCCCTACCATGAACTCTTATTACGGTACAAGTACAGTACTTTACTAAACTTGTACGGTTCGTAACGACAAAAAAGCGGGATGGTGATATATACATATACACTTCATATAGCGCTGTCTTACAACGACTCATTTTAGGTCCTAAACTGAATCGTAATTAGAGTTCATGGTACCCTGTTCTCGATTCTGATCGATTTTGAAAACAAAGGGACGAAAATTATTATGACCTTAGCAATATTATAAAAATATTCTAAAATTCTTTTGTTATGTCGTTTAGTAACGTTTCGTTTTTTGTTTTCAATATTGTGCTATCTATTATCAGATATTCGTCGATAATTTTTGCACGTTGCCTCGAATGTCCGAATATAGTGAGCAAATAATTACATACATCGCCGGATATGTAGTACGAGTAATACAAAAAAATATATAATGCAAAGAATTAACAGTGCGCTGCCTTTACAAAAACCTGGAGTTGGTCATACGTATGAGTTCGTTGCTTTCGAAGACGAGGTGGTCTAGTTTATCCCACCCAAGATGCTATTCAAATATGCAGAGTAGCAGAGTTAGAAATTTAATTAAGTAAACCTCTTCTGTTAATAAGATTTTACCATATTTTGTCAGCAGTAACATTTTCATTTGTCTAGCCATTCATTAATTTGATCAATTACCAACAGAAAACCATCTAGTAAAATTAATTAAGGCAGTCGCAGGTTCATATATTGACGTATGTTTTCATTATGTTAATCGATAAGATCTTCTATTATAAAAGGATGTTATATAATAAGCTCATTTTATTGGAAGGATAATAATTTTAATATTTTTGAAGTCTATTAAAAATTGAAGATTTAATTTTTTAAGTAATCAACATTTTTTTAAAACAAATAAAATAAAGGATTAAAGAATCTTATTCTTGTATTTTTCTACTATATTAATATTACGACTAAGTACTTGTAATCAACAAATACTTGAACAAAAATTATTCTATTTAGAACCGTTTAATTGAATGGAATACGCGTGTTTACGCGTATTCCGTTCAATCAATCGATTTAGAGCGACCGGAAGGAGATTTCTATCATTAAATAGTTCTTGTGACGTCATAGTGGGTACAAAAAATGTGGCACGCTTGGTTTTCATACAAATTGCTGTACTTGAGGCGTCTATTGAGATATATTTCTGTGTTGAATTCCGACCTACAAACGGTTTCGGTATGGGCAAAGAACTACGGACTTTTTTTAAATGCACCAAAGTCCCAAGCCATAATTATTGGCAGTCGCCAATCCATCTCTAAGTTAAGAGTCTATGGTGATGCCCAATTTAGCTCTGAATGGCACCTAAATTCCTTTCTCCACTTCAATTAAAAATTTGGGCGTCGTAATGGATCAGATACTTTCTTGGTCGGAGCATGTCGCCGATGTAAGGCATAAAATCTTTGCAACACTTCATTCCGTCAAGCGGCAGTACTTTCTTCCTCTGTACCAAATTTATGCTCATACGCACAAGAGTGCGTATGAGCATAAATTTGGTAGACAGTACGTAATACATTACGTAAGACATGATAAGGGTGTAGCAAAGTTACAATGGAATTTAAATACATTGCAAGCTTGAACGTAGTTAATTAGTTTGGATAATTAATTATATTATTGATTTTAAGATTATTAATAAACATCATTATTACATAATATTTTCACCTTAAAATTAATTAAATTATTTTTTTTATAATTATCAAACATTTTTATTACTATTACATTTAATTTAATTTCATTTATTGCAATTCACATTTTAATAAACTTAGATACATACATGTGATACCCTATTAGAGCCTAGCGCAATTTAAACTTAAACCTAATGATATAATTATTTCAACATATGTTATAATATACAATATTCGTACACTTATTTTATTGTTATAATATATATTATTCTTACACTTATTTCTAATAATAATTTTTATTGAATTGTATTTTCAATTATTATAAATAAAAAATAAAAATAAAATAAAATGTTTTTTTATTTAGGTTTACCCATTAATAAATTTAACATTATTAATTAATTACATTACGTTACATATCCAATTAAATAGAAATTTTATTTACCGAATATTATAATTATTAAAGAAGTAAATAATTAAGAATTACATTAAATTGAATTGAATTTACATTAGAAATAATAGTATAACAATAATTAATTTATTTAAATTTTAAAAATGGAGTGGTCACTTACTAAGTAGCACACATCGCATACTGTTCTTACAATTATATTGGCCGAATCGCTCACTCTCACAAGAAAATACCAATATCTCTTCCGTATTATGGCAAAAAAATCGTCTACTCTATTCATGGCAAACATGCCAGACGCACTACACCGCCAGGGCAGCCGCGGCATTGCGCGAAATGCATTATTGTACTGAACTCTGAGTCTATCAAAAGCTCACTTAGGGTCGTATTCTAGAACTCTACTCAATTCTCAAATCAGGATTGCAATTGAAACACAAGCACTGGAAATACGACCCTAATGGCAGGGACTTGAGTATGATTTCGAGTGCTTTGAATCATACTCAAATAATGAAGAACCTATATCATACTCAAGTAAAGAATACGACCTTTAGTGTAATGGTACCACAACCGACTAGTGTAGAACGCCTGACAGTAAGCCCTAAACAGAGTTATTTTTACTTGAACCGAGCAATGAGCGAATCGACGCGCCAACATGTTACTCTTCATGGCTATAGTCCGTCTCTATCGCTCCAAATCATCATCGTCTCTCAGATTTGCGGTACGTATATGCCCTAGGTACTTAAAGCTCGATACATTACTTAGGACGGTGCCATTCAATGCGACAGGCGGAATGTTGTCCGGTCCTTTGCCATACTTAAATACCATTAGTACAGTCTTTTTAACATTATAGTTGAGGCCATGTGATGCGGCATATCGTTCACAGATCGAAACCGGCGTCTGTAGTCCAGTCATAGAGAGGCTCAGCAGAGCCATGTCGTCTGCATAGCTCAGGTTATTCTTGCAAACGCCGGCTACATGACACCCGACAGTAGCTCTGCTGAGCTCCTCCACCAGGTCATTGACGTACAGATTAAACAGAACTGGCGAGGTCAGTCCGCCCTGCCTAACCCCACAGTTCAGTCTATATGGGTCAGAGTTTGAGTCTCCCCACATAACGCTATTAACCTGGTTTCCGTGCCAGTACCTCAACAGATAGGCTATTTGTGTTGGTACGCCCGCTTTTGACACTTTTTCCCACAATAAATCGTAGTTAATTGTATCAAAAGCGCGGCTCAAATCTAGGAAGCACGCGTATACTGATGTTTTTCTTTTAACATAGTATTTTACGGCATTTTTGAGGCAAAATATTGCCATGTCTGTCGACAGGCCTGGACGGAACTCAAACTGAGCGTCATTTAAATGTATTTGCTATATCTTTTTCATTTGTTAAACCGTTTACTGAAATTGGTCTACTTTGTTTATAACTTAATTTATTCGTATCTTTCCAAAACTGACTGAAATTACCTACGGATCTATGAGAAGCTATAATATCCATTTTAATTTTTCCTTGCTTACGTTGGCACCTACTGAACTTATTTTTAAATGATTTCCGTTTGCTGCACATTTCATTAAACACGGCCCGATGGAGGAGATTCGTGTAACAACCATGCCTTATGCGCTTCGCGTGCTTTTGTGTACAACGGTAATATATGGTGGTTCCACCCAGCTACGTTATATTTGTGACGTTTGTTTGTATACGTTAATTTTGCAGCTAACTATAAGGACGCAATAATTTCATTATAATACCTATTGATTAATTCTGTATGCACTTTATTGTTACACGCCACTCCACATATATTAACAGAAATGTTTACATTATTTAAGTATTTTGTACATAATTTATTATATTCTTTTATTTGCTCATAATATCTGTTGCCCAAAATTACTTTATTAACGATCTTAGGGCACGTACTAATTTTAGTTTCTATAAGATTTAAGTCACGTTCAATCCGCAAGGGGTAGTGATCCAGTACACGTCATACAACACCCGCGCGCTAGAACATAGTTTGTATGCAGAGGCTGAAGCAACGCAGTGGTCTAACCAACTCGTAGATCCCTGTTTATCACTGTTCAAAGTATAAGTGTCAGTTGACTCACCAATCGTTTTGATATCCGCACATATTCATCTTTGATCATTGCAGTAATTCCTTTCCGAATAACGCACGAATATCAGCGTTAAAATCACCAAGCACTAATACACACTCACTACCATTGTCCTCTATTATAGCACTTATTTTGCCTAAATATTCCGTAAAAATGGCAAATTTTCCGCACAGTCGATGGGCATGTAAACCGACATAAGAATTATATTACGGTTATCCTGCAGTTCTGCGCAGACCGCTGCGATGCGTTTCGACATACTATCAATTACAGATACATTACTGAACGTACTTTTTCTCCATAACAGCGCTACACCTCCATATAGTCTACCCTTCAGGGGTCCAAGTGATGTGTCAACTGCAGATATTTCGTGATAACCAAACTCTGGACTGATCTGGCTTAAGAAGTCGAGATCGTCCGGCAAAAGCCATAGTTCCTGCAACGCGATTATGTCGTGTTTTTTACATAATTCTTGTACGTAAGGAAGGGACCGTTTGAGCCGTTGCAATTAAAGGATATTATTTTTGTTGTAATTTTATCTATTTTAGTCATTTGTGCTGTTATTCACTGTTCGGTCGTGGTTGTTTCTTTTAGACAAATTTCTTTTATATACATATTTTCTATATACTATTCCGACTGGCCAGAATCCGTCGCTCAAGAATGTATTTATTTTGCCGGTTTCAATTGTCACCAGAAAAGAATTAAACGATGTCGCTTGGTAAAGTTTTAAATATTCTATGTTTACAACAGATTCACCCTTACTGATAATATATTCTTTTATGACCTCAGGCGTAATTGTTTTCTTCGTTTGTGAAAGGTATAAAGTGGTGGTACTAGGTGACGCCTGGAGCATTTCGTTTGAGACTCCGTTATCACTTCTATTTCTAATCATGTGCTTTTGCTTTTTTATGTTAACCCATTACACCTCTGGTAATGGGCGACGACGTACCCCCATGTTGAGCAATATTATTTCGTTCGCCCAACGGTCCGCGTACACTGTTACACTCAGGTTGTCGCTGCCTGATTAAATTCTTAACTTTTGTTAAGTCACCCTTCATTTCTATTATTTCTTCTTTATTTGCATC